ATCAACCATTTCATGTCAATATTAAAAACTAATATCATTTTAAAAATTGATTCAATATATTGTTAATATATTCAATATTTAAAGAAAATGAAGGAAATCACTCATCTGTTTTTACCTCTTGGCTTTAATTCCAACAACAAATATCTAAACCTTGAAAAGATTAATCTTCATATATTTGATAAGTATTTATGAAAGAAAGATTAGTCAATACTACAGTTTGCAGAATTTACCAAATTTTTAAGTTATAAAAGAATTTTCACACACAATAATAGTAGTTTGGTGCAATATCTTAATGGTAAGGTAGACACTATAACATCATAGAAACGGCAAAACTTTTACAAAAAAAAAAATCTTTGGAAAAAAAAAATCTTACTTGATTATTAGATATAAAATCAGATAACCAAATTTTATAATTTATTATTTTTTTTAATTGAATTGTAAATGAAAGTTGACCAAAAAATTCGCAAATGAATTTATTGTTAATGTTATTAATAAAATTAGAATTAATATCAACAAAATAAAAATATATTATTTCATATAAAGAAAATTGAATTTAAATCCAAATTTAACACCATTAATAATTTTTAACCATAATTTTGTTTTTCTAATTTATTTAATTTTAAAATATACTTAACTGCGTATGGCGCAGTAAGGCATGTAGTTTAAATCTAATGTAAAAACAAACTACAACTAAAGCATACATTACATAGGACATTAATCTTTATTATCGAGATCTTTAAGACTTTGAAAAAGAAAATCAAAAGTTTCTGAAATCTTACATCTAGTTAACTTGAATTAAGAAGAAAAAAATTAAAAAAACAAAAATAGATTTGTAGCTCACGTCGAGGTGATTCGGCTTCGGTTGGTTATGGTGGGCTTTTTAGCTATCTCGTTGATTCGATCTCTTGTTATTTATTTCTAATTTTGGCGGTGGCCAGGTCGAGATGATTCAGTTCTTTTTTTTGGTCTATCATTTTGATTTATGTTTGCAGTTCAAATTTGTTTAATAGTAGTTTCACCAAAACTGTCTCACAAAAAACTAATATAAACAAAAATAGATAGTAGCTTCATGTCGAGGTGATTCGGCTCAGTTCGAGTATGGTGGGCTTTTTAGTTATCTCGTTGGTTCTTTTTCTTGCCAGTTTTTCTAATTTTGGCGGTATCCAGGTCGAGGTGATTTGGCTCTTTGTTTTTGTCTATTGTGGGAGGTAGATTCAACATAACTAAATATTTTAAGGGTTTAAAAGGAGAGGACTGAGAATTTTAAGAATGATTCACAAGGCAAAGATTGAAGATGATTTTATTGTTGTTTTTGCTAAGCTTTCAAAGTACAAGTATTTATGTTCAGTAAAATTGCGCCCTTTTTTCAAGGGGAATACATGAATATTTATAAGAGACTACGTCGGCTAGGTCAACTCCTAAAGAAATAAGGAAGATTTCCTTTTTCTTAGGAATTTTCTTTATCTGAATTCGGCTGCGTGAAATGGGCCTCGTCGCCAAGCTCGGGCCACTAAGTAATGTCATGAAGCTTTGGGCTTGGTCCACCTTGTTACATCTTGGGCCTCACCTCGTCTTAGGCTTGTCTTGTTGGCTTTACATCTGGTTGAGCCCACCTCTCAGTTATGAAGTTAGGCTCGTCGCTATGTCACATTCTTGGCCTCGGCGGGCTTGTCGCTCTGGCCTTGCCAATTTGACAGCTCTGTCGTGTAGTCCACCTCGTAAGGTTGTCAGCTCGTGATGTACTTGGCCTCGCCAGGCTTGCCGCTATAGTCTTGCCATTTTGACAGCTCTTTTGTGCAATCCGTCTTACCGGATTAGTCACTTCGTCGTGCATTAGACCTCGCTGGGCTTGGGATTACCGGGTTCACCTAGTCATTTCTAATCCAGTTTCCATACTTAGTCATTTTTTGCTTTGATCTTACCGAGGTGGAACCTGACTCCAACATCTATCATTCTGATTTAAGTTTTGCAGTTCAAATTTTTTTAATGGTAGTTTCACCGAAACTATCTCGCAACAAAATGGACAAAATCAATCAAAAAAGGAGACTTATTTAAAAAAGAGAATTGTTGTCGTGTTATCGCATAATGTATTATTGTGGATACATGAATATCAATTGTTTACGATGGACTTGAATCAAAACTGTCTTGGTATAACTATTTTTATCAAGGATGTTTGTCCTCACTTAATTTCCGATGCAGAAAAGACCATTAGTTTCTCTTTGTATTTCATATATTAACCTTATTGTATGATATAATACATTTGAAGTAAGTTTAAAAAGAAAATGTTAAGTCTATTAAAGTTTCAAAAGAAAGTAACATATGACATACGTGTTTAAGCAGTGATACTGAAATAGCATGATATTGCTAAGTTTAATTCCCAATGGATGATAATGCTTAGATACCATGATAGATACTCAATTGGCATGTGTCATCATTTCATTCGTTCATTGTTTTTTATTACTTAATAAAAATAATTAAATTAGATGAAAACTATTAAAATAATACATATTAGATATTCAATGAGTTTCTCCCCATTAAAAATGCTCTAACAATTATCAGAATCCATTACATTTAGGTAACTTATTTGATGTTTTCTTGACAGTAAGTAACCTACGTCTAGCTTAGTGGTATGAGGCTTCTTACCACATGTCTTCCATCTGACCACTCGATGCTCCCAAAGCTATAGATTCCCGAAAACATCAATGGATTCAGTGAACATGACCGTATTGCAAGCCAGTTTGTTAAAAAAGATTTTAACCGAGTACATACCGGCTCCTCCCACACTCTGTTACAATGTGCGTGTGCTTATATGTGCCACCTCCACCTCATGATAAGTCGACCAAGGCCGCATACTAAGGGTAATTCGGGTTCGCAATGATGTACTTGTTGTTGGGGTCGAAGGCGAAATTGCTTCTCGTGATGGTTTTGATATGTGAAGACGTGTAATTTGACGCGCACACAAATGATAAATAAATCCTCCACTGGTAGATCATAAACAAGTCATGGCTTGAAGGATGATACAAGTGATATGTATCCCGCGCCGTGTGCAAACGACACCGATGGTTTACGATTCACAGTGTCACACTGTCAAAGATTACCTTCCCTTCGTTGCTGATTGTGTTTGTTGTCGTCATTAAAACCGAGCGAATCGCTGTCCGACTCCACTTGGGATGCGCCACCTTAAGTAGTGCTGCCAATCCGCTCACGTGGGGTCACGCCATCAATGTTTCTGATACAATTTTCATGCATGCGCCGATTTTGGAGATTTAGTTTGGTTACTCTGGTCTAGACCATGGGGATGTTAACACCCTAGCGCAATGATGTCAGATTTCATAATTTCTGGAGAAATTAATGGGCCTCGAGAGCTAAAACTCGCCACAATAGAGGATAAATTCACGTTGAGAACGGTTCCTTTGAATTGAACCGCGACCTTCAGATTTGACTTGGACAATATATACTCCCATATTTGGTCACCGAATAACTTGCCGAAGATAGTGGATAGAAACAAACCAAACTGAGCTATAAACTCTCTTCCATCCCCTATGGTGTTAGCAAATATAATCCCGCAGGCTGATCTTGTCGCCGTTTTAATGTCATCGTTGCCACTTAGTCCCATATCAACGAAGACTAGTTCGCCCGTTACGTTTCCTCCCAATAGACCATAAACCAAAGGGAATTGCTTGTTGGGTAAAGCACGAATTTTGAACAATGTTGAGACACCGGGAAAGGTCTTATGGTTTCCAAGGACAACAATCGCCGAAAATTTCCAATCGATGGTCCTAACACCTACCTTTGTTATCCACGAGGACAAATTTACGAGATTCGAATCTCGTGGACCATGGTTTCCAGCTGCCGCATACACAATTATGTCTCTCTTGGTGGCTGGTAATGCTCCGATGGTAATGTCGTCGCTTTGGTAATCCAGAGTGCCAAACTCGATCGAGATGGATAAGATGTTGACATTGTCTTCGATTGCCTTATCTATGGCGGCTAGGATATCCAAACTCACGTAGTAGTCTTCATTCCAGCATGCTTTGTACGTTGCAACCCGAGCTCCTGTAACCAT